TGATCTGATAACAAGTTGTTGCTGGTTTAGTCTGTAACAAAGTAATTCAAAAGTCTGCGTGTGGTTGGGTCTGAAGTGTTGAGTTGGTCATATAACAGAAAAGTAAACTGTCCCGTTCATTGCCACCGATTTAAGAAGTCAGGCTTGTGGTAGGAGCTCTACACTGAAATACCCCTCAAACTATTTCAACTGGAGATCTTTAGAATCGTGTCTGGTTGCTAGTGCTCTGGCAGATGTATGAGCATTTTTCCTATTCATAACTGCTTTGGAGTGCTTTCGTTGAAATAAGTAATTATTGACTGCAAGAATCAGATTAGAAACTGCAAAGAACAAAGAGAAAGTTTAATTTGCTCTCTTGTAAGCAAAATAGAAGTGATTCTTATGTGAAAAAATAGTTTCTGAAATTTCATCCAAACGGCTGCCTTGTGACGTTAGCATAATAAAGTAATTTAGAGATCCGACTTCTGAGTGTTAATTGCTTTAATTTTCCCTATGATGATGCCTGGCGCAGAAATAGCATTCAGGAGACAATATCCACTGAACAGTCCTGTGTTTTCTGCGTACCTTTACACCGGTTTAACTTGCTGCTAAGGTGCCCGCACTTGCAAAACCAGAAAGTCAGCCCTCCAAGAAGGGGGTTGCATTGGACGGCTGCTCAGCCCCCAAGGGAAGGGAAAGCAGAGCCTGACAAACAGGGAGGTGAGGTGGTTTTCTTCTGCATGTGGGTGCAGGTCATGCTGTGCCTCAAGTCCCTGGCTTCGTGCCTTTTAGAGGTGCCAGGGTAGAGGCTAGCAGGAGTAGGACCTGCTGCTTACAAAATACTGCTGCTGGTAAGAGCATGTGATAGTTACTGGATGGGAAAAGTACTAAGTCTGGAAGTGATGTAGGAAACGATTCTTACAGCAGATCTTGCTACTGTTGAGTATCCCAGGGGAAGTTTACAAAGACTTTGGGAAGATTTGTCTTTTCATGGGAACTTTTTAAATAATGGGAATAGTTTTTAATAATGGTGCTGCTTCAGCTCACCAATATCTTACTGAGCTACCTTGGGTTAAGGTGGAACTTTGACTTGGGCCAGCTAACTCCTAGGTAGTCCGTGCAGATACCTAGTTGTGGCTGCTTCTGGTTTGGATTGTGACACTTGGTAGATGATAGATCTGATCCACTGTGTCTGTGAAGAATATAGCTTTTTTGTGATCTTGCCTTAGGATGAGCAACCTGTTTTTTGAGGGCCTGACTTTGTTGTGTCTTGTGTCATTATAATTTGGTAGCAATTTGTGTACGCATTTAACTTGTTCTGCAAAGAGGTAATGTGTACTTAAAGCACCAGAAGACTGGAACCACAAAATTGGAGCTATTTCAGCAGAGGTTGTGGTTCTTTACGTTTTGTTGCTGAAAGAAAAAGAGAGAAAGAAGGAATTTTTTAAATGTGACATGTCCTAAGAGTTACTCCATAAGGTGATTTAGGAATTGTTTTCACCGGTATCATTTCTGCTATTCACGAGGTTTCTGTCATTGCCATTATACAGTACTTCTTTTCTCTATGATACCTTCCATGAATTATGAGGCAATGAAGCTATCTGACTTTATTTAATAAAAAACTTCTCTTATTCACAGTAATGACTAATATTCTGGAAGTATTTACATAATTTTTAAAAAGTTATGCTTAAGCCACGTGAAAGACTGTCTCATGTTAAACAAGTCTGTGCAGAAGTGGGCTGCTGTCACCTCTTACGATATTTACCATTTAAATCAGAGAAGCAAGAAAAGTTGCACTGTAGCCATCGGTAGTGCAGTTTTGCCAGTGCTTTATCACCAGAAGATCAGGGAGCGTGGTGATCTTCTTCTGCCAGGTACTTGATCACGCAGAAGCTATAGAATGGACGCTTACAGTTACAAAGTTAGATGGTATCAAGTTTTGTGGAGATTTGGTTTTTTGCTTCTTCGCCATGGCATCTGTTGTGATAGTGTGCCTCGAGTTACTCTTCCTACATTTTAGCAAGACTTTAGTCAGACTCTAATATGGTAAAGAGGAGCAGTCTGTTTTATTGGTCATGCTTGCAATGTAGTCATGTAATTAAAAAAAAATCTTAAAATTTTGCCCCTGCAATCTGTGCTGAACTATGTTTCAAACTGAGGAAGTTTGTTTTCAGGGACTTCCTTGTCAGTTATTTAAGAACCCGTGAGGGGATGATCCCAGGAAATTAAGCTGTTGTCTTAGTGCTGTAATTGCACTGTGATACGATCTTGTGTTGAAAGGGTATCTTTCCTCTAGATGAAACCTTCTGAGCTATTGCACAGCATAGGGGGGGGGTTATAAAACTCACAGATTGAAAGTTCACAGCTCTTTATAACGTACTTGAGTTACAAGGAGGGGGAATATTCACCTCGCAGCTAATAAAATTGTCCTAATTTCAAGGACACTGCTATAGTCCCCTTAGCAAAAGCTCAAAGCAGCTACTTGTGTTGGGCCTGATGGAGGAGGAACAGGTGGATGATGGGGAATGTAACAGCAGGGTAACAGTGAGAAGGGAGAGCTGATACACAGCAATAATTACGTATTAATTGAGGAGAAGAGGAGGGAGGCAGATAGATATAGAATGTAAGTGCTGTGGAAGAGACTGACAGAGAGGAGGGGAAAACATGGAAAAAACTGGAGAGGTGGGTTTGATGGGTGGACTATTTGGTGGATGAGGAATTGGTTGGATGGTCGCATCCAGAGGGTAGTGGTCAATGGCTCAATGTCCAGATGGAGACTGGTGACGAGTGGTGTCCCTCAGGGGTCCGTACTGGGACCAGTACTCTAGTATCTTGATCAGTGACATAGACAGTGGGATCAAGTGGGATCAACCTTAGCAGGTTTGCAGATGACAGCAAGCTGAGTGGTACAGTTGACATGCCTGAGGGACAAGATGCCATCCAAAGGGACCTGGACAAGCTTGAGGAATGGGCCTGTGTGAACACCATGAGGTTCAACAATGCCAAGTGCAAGGTCCTGCACATGCATCAGGGCAACCCTCAGTATGAGTACAGGCTGGGGAATGAAGGGATTGAGAGCAGCCCTGCTGAGAAGGACTTGGGGGTAGTGGTCCATGAAAAGCTGGACATGAGCCGGCAATGTGCCCTCGCAGCCCAGAAGGCCAACCGTATCCTGGGCTGCATCCACAGCAGCGTGGCCAGCAGGTCGAGGGAGGTGATTCTGTCCCTCTACTCCTCTCTCGTGGGACCCTACCTGGAGTGCTGCATCCAGCTCTGGAGTCCCAAGCACAGGAAAGACATGGACCTGTTGGAGCAGGTCCAGAGGAGGCCACCAAAATGACCAGAGGGATGGATCACTTCTTCTGTGAGGACAGGCCAAGAGAGTTGGAGTTGTTTATCCTGGAGAAGAGAAGGCTCCGGGGGGACCTTATTGTGGCCTTTCAGTTCTTAAAGGAGGCTTCTAAGAAAGATGGGGACAGACTTTTCAGCAGGGCCTGTAGCAATAGGGCAAGGGGTAATGGTTTTAAACTAGAAGAGGGCAGATTTCGACGAGATCTAAGGAAGAAATGTTTCACAGTGAGGGTTGGTAAAACACTAGCACAGGTTGCCCAGAGAGGTAGTAGATGCCCCATCCCTGGAAACATTCAAGGCCAGGTTGGATGGGGCTCTGAGCAACCTGACATAGTTGAAGATGTCCCTGCTCATTGCAGGGGGGTTGGACTAAATGACCTTTAAATGTCCCTTCCAACCCAAAGATTCTGTGATTCTGTAGGGGAGCTGATGGCTGCTGGGTCTCGGTGAGTGCCACCGCAGTGGCTTGCTGAAAGAGAGGACGGCTGCAGGAGGAGCACGTGGGGCTGGGTTTCTGTGGTGTGCAAGATGCTGCTCGCTTTATCCAGCTCTCTCTGGGTAAGGTGCAGTGGCGGTGAAGAGAGCCCCAGTCCTGCTGTCAACTTCGCAGGTGGTTCCTGTCAGCGATGAGAGGGTTGACTGCCTGTGAAGAATCTGTCTGTACACGGGGACCGTGTTACGGGGCTGGAGGCTCTGCAGCCCGGCTCTTTGCACGTCCACAGCAGGGCTGTTGAAGCCAGGTGTCAGCTTCCTGCCCGTACCCGCAGAAAGGGTGCTTAACAAAATGGAATTAGTATCACAGCGGTAGCACCGCACACACCATATGATATATCAATTAATTTCACATGTCCAGAAATGTACTGGAAATTCTGGAGGTAATGTGCTTGGTGTTATCTCCTACTGCACTTATTTTGATTTTATTTGAAAAATACAATGAAGACTGAGAAAATGAACAGCAGCGCGAAGAGACTGTTGCAAATGATCACATTACCACAGCCTAATGAGTTAAGGCAATGGGATTGGGCATAAGCAGCTACTTGGGTGGTTTTAACGGATGTGCTGTCTAATTGCAATGGGATAGAAATGAATGTTTTGTCAGCTGCTGCTGTGCATCGAAATAGTGGTAAATTAAGTTGCAGAAACTCAATGTTTTAGGAACATCTGCCAGTTTGCGTGCTTTTCTTAAGGCCTGCTATCATGTAGGGGTGCTAGTGTCTACAATAATGTCTGATACTTCCATTTTAAAAATGAGGGCCAGAGAAGAACTTGGATGCTCTGGATGGACATTTGGAGTTTTGCATCACTACTTGGGACCTGTGGGTACAGTCAGGTTTTAGCAAGTTCAGCAAGTCCCTAAGAACGCGTGAGAAGCAGCTGTAGACCAGCGCTCATAGCCACCGCCACGCAGCTGTACGCGGCGCTAAGGCGGGGGTACGTGCTGTAGGGAGGCTAGGCATGAAAGTACGGGGAAGGTGGAAACAAGGTTTGCCCTTCTGTTGCTTTTGTCAAAAAGAAGAAAGCTGGGGCGGGGGGGAAATACTAGCCACCTTTTTCCGAAGGATTGCTGGGCTTTTGCAAACGTGTATGTGTTGCCTTTCATTTGGGAAGAGTGTTAATCTGTTTCACCCCGTCTGTACTAACAACTTGGGGGGGGGGCTGTGTGCTTGCAGACCTACATTGGCTCGATAGTTGCCTCTGTGAACCCTTACAAGAGCATCCCGGGACTGTACGACTGCGCCGCCGTGGAGCGATACAGCAAGCACCACATGGGAGAGATCGCACCTCATATCTTCGCTGTGGCAAACGAGTGCTACCGCTGCCTCTGGAAGCGCCACGACAACCAGTGCATCCTCATCAGGTAAATGGCAGTGGCTGCTGCTTGGGTGAACCTTCCGAAGTGATTTAGGAACACGGATTTGGGCCACGTGGAAAGGAGAACTCTAGAAGAAAGAAGGCTTTTAAACCATCAGAGTTTTGGGAGACAGTTCTAAACTCGCTTTGTGGACCTCTAACAAAATGTTAATCTTTCTTACGCAGCTTACGATTTTATTTAGTGAAAGAATCTATTGTATCTTTGTGCATTTTTTGCTACTTACCCATCTGATTCTACCGTAAGTGCTTTCCCCTCCAGTTTAAACATCCCTGTGCAAGTCAGTAGTTTCTCACCGCTAGACCCTGAACCCTGTATTGAGAGGAAAATTAAAAATAACCCACCAGTCTCGAGAAATTAGGTAAACAAGAATAGCAAAAGAGAAAATTCTCCACATTTCAGCCACTTCTTTCTGCCTAATTAGCCTTCCTTGCTTAATCTTGTTGTGCGTTAATTTAATGGTGATTTAATATCTTCCTGTGTGATCCACTCTGTCACTGGTATTTAGGATCTCACTGCTCCCGAACGAACATAGAGAGCAGTCGGCAATTCAATAGCTGTTCGCTGCTTTCAGCTCCTCTTTCCTTCTTGCTCCAGAAGAGCCGAAAATGAAGCCAGCTTTTTTCCTTTTCCCCTGCCTGCCAGCTCAGCTGTGTTGGCTCACACGCAGGTGGAGAAAACCGAAGCTGTGCCCGCCGGATTGGGAGGAGCAGCGCAGTGGCGATGGCAGCGTGGCACCAGCCGTCGGGCTCCGAGCCAGGGGTGATGCTCGGGCTGGGGGGTGAGAGAGCTTGTGTTTCCTCTCCCTCCCCTCTCTCACTTTCGCAGTGTTTTTGCGATTAAACCTGTTTGCTCTCGCCTTCCTGCAGCCTACCAGCACAAACTAAATGTGGAGAGCTCTTCAGACACAAAGTGACACGATTTCAGCTGTCTCCTGACTTCTGTGGGAGCCCTTGTGACAGCCGTGGGACCACGGCATGGGACAGCCGGTGGGGCACAGAGGGGATGAGGCAGAGCGAGAGCAGCACCTTTTGCAATAGGCAGTTTCTACTGGCATTTAAGATCACGGGGCCCGTTTGCAAGGCTTCCTGGCATGTGTAGTTCAGCACCCAAGCTGTTGTTAGAAATGTGGATCCGATGCAACACAACTAGGTCTGGTTCCAACTTTCTGCAAGCTCTCAGGATGCAGTGCCCCTCTGCCCTCGCCTGTAGGCAGGTTCTGCCTGGCAATGGTGCACAGAGAGATGGGGCTGCCTGTGTTTTTCAACTTTCTTCAACTGTATTCTTCCTTTCCTTTTCTTTTTTTTTTTTTTAATTTTATTTAATACATAGTGCTGTACATATAAAGCTGAGTCCAGATGACACTCCAAGAAAAAATTAAATGCACAGAGATCTTTAGCTGGCCTGGACTGATGATTTTATGGAGTAACATCAGGTAGTTACTCGTGAACAGCCCACATACCTGAATTTTGGGGACCAAAATAATTTCTGGTGCCTAGCAGGTGGCTGTTGGTATTTTTGTTAATTCCACTCTGTACTGGCCTGAGTATTTTACCTTTCCATCCAAGCTGCCAGGAGAGAAGCAGGTTGTGTCCTAAAAAGGACATAAGCAGAAGTCTCTGATGTTCCAGCGGAGTCTCCAGCAGTCCCTGCTCTGTAAACCATGTGCCTTGGTACAGATAAGCCATAATATGGAGAAGTTTCGCATTAGCAGTCTCTCTTAAAATAGCTGACAAGCCATAATATGGAGAAGTTTTGCATTAGCAGTCCCTTTTAAAATTGCTTACTGTGGTCATGAATAAAAACAATGATCTGTGTAAGTTCAGTGTTTCAGGCAAGCACTGTAATACAACCTTATAAGGGTGTCTCGTTGCTACAGAATATGAAGGAACATGCAACTCGGAACAAAAAATAAAAAGTCAAATCTAGTTTCCTAAAACACTGTTATCTGTTGTATCTGTGAAGGAATCAGAGCAGGATTTTTTTTTAAAACTAATGAAGGTTTTCAGTAGCCCTGATGAGGTTTAGAAAAGTCCCTGTGATAACATACTTATTTTGGGACATCAGAAGTGGAGGTATAACAGTGAGCTTGTCATCTTCAGCATCCTGGTCATTCCTGCATCTTTTACTGGCTTAGAATTAGGTGTTGCAGCAAGTTGTCGCCAGGCTTTCTTGGTTACTACTGGCATTTGAAAAAAAAATGGTCGAGTGAAGCTCTGCATGTCTGAATTGAGGCAAATATTTTGGTCTTTTATTTAATGTCAGAGATTATTAAAAAGGAAGATTTTATTCCATCATGAAAACACAATAAACATTCACATCCAATTCAAGTGATTGAATTGTTCGTGCAGGCTTCACGATCTGATGTGCACTCTTCACCTGCTCCTAACTTTGGGATCTAAAAACTCGTAGCAAGTTGGGGCAGCCCCATGAAATAAGGTAGTGCCTGCGTTCTTACCATCCTCTGGACTTGAAGTGCCCCCTGCTGGCATCCCAAATTAGCTCAGATTTGCTTGGGAGCTGCTTTCTTAAGGCCTTGGGTTCAAAGACCCGTGAAAAAGCTTCTACCGTTTTGAAATGCTTGGGGTATTTGTCTGCATGGGGTAAGATGAGAGGGTTAAGGCAAGAACCTGAATTAAAAGTGTCATCAGTAGTGACTCAAAATGTAATATAAATGCGAGACCATTTTTCCAGTATAACCACACAGACCAGAAGTGAAAATACAGAAGAGATGATATTAAACTGAGTCATCCAAAGATGCTTATTTATTGGTCTGTTTTACACAGACTTATTTTAATTCATGATAATGCTGCATTAAAATGACTTAGCAGCCTAAAATGTCAACAAAGTGGCACATTGAAGAAGCTGTGCACAACCAGTACATCAGAATATTTACACAGTTGTGAAATGGTATTTTTGCTCTCCCAGGATAAAAATTGCTTATTTGGCTATTGAACTAGAACTTTCATGTGGACAAAAATGTCTACACCAATGAAGTTTTATGTTGATCTGAAGCTTACCACAGAGTCCAGTTTCATTTAAAATAGGAAAAAAAACCCCACAGTTAAATTTGATGCTACAACATGTAGACATGTTAAAAAAAAAAAAATCTGATTTTTCAGCTGTGTGCCTTGGCAAGGAGCATGAAGGGTGTCCATCTTACTTGAGGAACAGCCAAACACCTTGTCCTGATGTAGGGAAGGGACTGAGTTCTCCCATGATTAGCTGATGTTTACAAGTTGGGACCAAGTTTAAACCCTGACCTCTTTATTGTAAGAATAGGAAAATATCTTTAGGCATTTTTTTTGTTACTGCTCTGTTTAAGGTGGCCTAGTCCATACACAAGCAAAGACACGCTCTTCTCTCAGGTACAATAGCAGCTGATCCACTTTAAAGCACTAGAAAAGAAGTGTAGAGCGGTCAAATGAGCAGCAACAGTCACCCTGAATTACATTCAAGTCAGTGCTGTGAGTGGGAAATCATAGTCTGACACCAGTTTGTTCTTCTCGTTATCATCCGATGGCCTGACATTTTTGTTCTTGTTCAGCTTGAAAATCAATGTGAACCAAAGTAGTCTTTGGATGATACCCAGACTTGTGATGAGAAGATATTCTTACGAGACTGACACACCAAAATTCACATGTGTGTTGAAGAACTGTGTTTGCAGAGAGACCTCTTTTGTCTGTGTGTATCTGTCTTTGGGGTTTTAAAGCCAGCAGACAGAACTGAGAAGTGATTGAGAGTAGTGTTGATGCCACCTCACTCACGTTATGTCCTTCAGAATGACGAGTCTCTCTCAGTGACCCTTTTTTCCACTGCAGCAGTCTGGAGTCCCGGCTGTTGTGCCCTTAGCGAGATGCCCTGTGTAGAACAAGTCATGGAGAAAGTCTAAAGATCTCCTAAGTGGGGGCTTTGTGGGTTGCTGTCACACTTAATATATTCACAGTACTGAATGTAGTGATGTGGAATGAGCTGGGCACTTAACTCGTGGGGTGGAAAGGTTGCTGGAAAGGTTGGCTGTGCACTAAAAAATTCACCCTTTCACTGACCTTGGCAACTTCTTGTAGGCGTAGGCTTTCTAAGGAGTCTGAAAGATTGATCCCGCTTAACCTACTGTTAGTGTGTATACTGTAGGGTTGAATAAACAACCTAAAAGTTTAGCATGCTTGTTCTTGATTTTCATCTCATTAATAATAGCTGTCTTTTATAAAGCGTTTTGTAAAGGAAAAATGCAGAGCCAACTTGATGCACATAAAATTATGGATCCTGAGCTGAGCAACACCATGCAGGGGTGAGATCTTACTGTTGTGCCAGAGGGCTCCAGGAACCCATCCACTCGGTGCCCAGTAGTAATTTTAAAACTAAATAGAATAGAGTGGTTACCAGTAAATTAATAGAGAACATTGGGTAAATCCACCTTCTGCTCAATCTGGAGTTATTAGACAGAAACCTTTTTCCCCCCTTGCTTGATATCTAGGAGGACTTCGTGAAACTGACGGTGGTTCAGAGAACAAAAAAGAGTGATCAGAAGTATAGCATGGCTGATGGTGGGAATGGCTAACAGAGACAGGCACCTCAAACTGAGGAGGCTATCCATGAAGTCATGCACAGCAGGGAGCGGGAACGCTGGGATGAGCTGTTGGTTTCTCCTTCCAGTATGAGAAGTAGGGGGCATTAAATGAAGCTAAGAGGAGGCAGATCCGAAACAAGACACAGAATCATAGAATCAATAGTTTGGGTTGGAGGGGACCTTTGAAGGTCATCCAGTCCAACCCTCCTGGAATGAGCAGGGACATCTGTTCATATGCTTTTTAAGGAAGTATATCTAGAAACTTACGGAAGATAAGTCTCTCAAGGGTTACAAGACACATGGAAACCAGATTTAGATCAGGAACCCTCTGAACAGCAAACAACTGGAAGCTGGAAGAACACAGAGGGGAAGTATCACATGTCTTCTTCCTTGGGCATCTCCATTTGGTGACTGTCTGAGATTGGACACTGGGCAGGTAGATCTTTGTCATCATCCAGTTCTGAGCCTCTCCTGTTCTAAGAAAAAATCAAGAGCATGTAATTGTATATAATACCAACTGTACCAGAGATAGGCACAGGAAATACTTTTCCATCAGCTTTGAATATCTCACTTGTAGAATTGCTCTCAATTACAGTGGGGTAACTCTCTGCTTCCATAGAACCACAGGTGCTCCAGAGCATGGGACAGAGGGTGGAGGAAGGATGGTATCAGTGAAAGAGCTGATTGTCCCCTTTGGCACCCATATCCCTGCTGCTGAGCTCCACACTGCTCAGAGGGTGAGAATTCAGGCAGAAATAGATATCTATCACTTGGATGATTTTTTGCACTGGGCGAGGATAGTGCAAGGGTTTGTGAAGCTCTTTCAAAACTAGTAGTAGAAATGTTTTGCTAATTCTTTAGTGTACAAGGAACCAGTATTAAATATGGGGAATATTAAATATTGGCTTTGTTGGCGAAGAGGCATGAGTGGGTGATGCCCTGCAAAGAGAAGGGAACAAATACCGAAAAGGCCAGATGCCAAGGATAAAACTAAATTAAAAATACTACAGAATTTGTTTGAGGTGGTGTAAGTATGATGGATGAATCATACTTGCTGGAACGTATCAGTGGGTAGCATATCTTATATGAAGTTTTATGAAACATTTTAAAGACTCTTTGATTCTTCTTGTGAAACAGTTAAATCTCAGCTACAACGCTCTGTGTCTCATTATGTTTTATGAATGCCTCTTCCCTGATTATTTTTGTAATTGTTGGCATTCATTTGCAGGAAAATGCCATGCTGCTTTCTTGGGCTGTACTTCTCTTCTTTGCTTTTTACTAGAAAGCATCATTATACTTTGCTGTAACCTAAAATTACAAGGGTCACCACTCAGCAATGGTACAACAAAAGACTGTCAAACTAAGCTTGCTCCACGTGCCCAGTTGGGCTCCATCAAAGTCAGTGACAAAACTCCCACTTGCTACAATGAAAAGGGTAGGATAAGACCAAAATGTACCTCCTTTCATTGAGAGTAAACTGGAGTTAGGCACAATTTAGGGAAACTAGGAATTAGGCTGCAGATTAGGATATAATGCTATGACTTCAGATGAAAAGTAAGCAAACTAGACAAACTTTAACCACAAATTATGTTTCTTAATGGCTCATGGTGTGCTTATAATTATAAGGCTACATAATTGAAGGGAAATGATATTGAGGAAATGAGACAAATTTACACCTTCCTTTTTTAGAGCGTCAGTTTTGAAGAGAGATTCAGTATGTTGGCTTCTGTTTGTATCAGCAAGATGATTGCTTATTAACAGTTTGTTTTTAAAAAGTCAATTTAGTATTATTAAATAGCTTTGTTCCGCTGTGGATGAAGGTAAGAAGTTCTACATCTCTGATGGTGACGAGAGGTGAAAATTGTATATTTTGAACTCATGTGAATCTGGTTTATTTGGATGGGCATATAAAAACTTTAAGGAATATGTAGCTCACTAAGAGTATCAGTATTAATTATACTGCTAGCCTTCATATGTTTTAATATGCATTGGTGTCTCTAACCTCCTCCTCCTCACAGCAGGGCTCCCCTCCTTAGCTACATTGCTGCAATATAATCCCAAACTTTCCCAGCTTAATTCATATTCTGGATTTTCTCCCCAACTATTGCCATGCCTTTGTTCTAACTTGGTTTTCCCATGTTGGTGAGAATTGTTGGGTAGTTGTTTGTATTCAGAGAGCTCTTCATTGCCTTGTGGGTGTTGTGTACATCCCTACACAATCAATGCCTTGAAATGCTGTCTGAACAGTGGTATAGAGCCTAAAGATACATTTTGTGTTGAATGTCATATTCGGTATTCTGTTGCCATTTGAATATCATTTCTAATCACCCCAGTCTTCCTGACCTCCAGTAATTTAGAGTTTGGAGGGCTGGCCAGCCAGAGGGCTTTTTGCCTAGCAGCTGGAACTGTGCAAACACTTTCCTCCTCTTCTTTCAGTGGTGAAAGTGGTGCTGGTAAGACGGAAAGCACTAAGCTGATTCTCAAGTTCTTGTCTGCAATGAGCCAACATTCGCTGGAGCTGTCCTGCAGAGAGAAGACCTCCTGTGTGGAGCAAGCTATTCTTGAGAGCAGGTATTAGACCTTTCGATACACAGGTATTTTTTCCAGAAGACATAAGCCCTGTCATTAAAAGAAGAGCTTGCAATGTAATTAAAGATGTGGGTGCATTTACCAAACAATAAACTGAATATTGGAAAGAGGGAAATTTTCCATTAAACAAAATCACCTGGCTGCTCTGGAGAGTTGTGAGCACATTGGGGTATCTTAATGAAGCAAAAAGATGCAGAGTTTTGAAATGGGCAATGCTTTAGTGGCAGCTTTCATTTTTGTTTGGGACTGAATTCAGAGTGAGGGAAATGGGTGATGAGAGGGAGAAACCATTGGTTTGGTTTGTGTAGCCTGAGGATAAGGTAGAACAAGATACAGCATGGTGAGGATAAAGTGTGCAAGCGGTAAAAGCATGCTGATGAAAGGGAGGATAAGGAGGACTGATAAGACGGATGAGTAAATGCATCAGATAAATTGGACACACTCTACGCAAGCAAAAAAAAATCTCTGTGTTCAAATGAAGTAACAGATGGTTCTAAACTATTTAAAAACAAAGACAATTTGAGATGCTATCACTTTTGTTTATCATGCTTCATCTCTCTTTTACCTGTTGTACCTTGATGTAATTATTTTTTTTAATTGCCTTAGGACAAGGACTATTTTCTCTTTATCTGTGTAGCAGTTTGCATGTGCTGAGATTTCTTGTTTCTATAATTTGACTACTTCAATGAGAATTCTGTGCATCTCTTAACCAGTTACAGATTAAGCCGCAGAGTAGTTTAGTATGATTAATCTTCCCATTGCTTGAACACTTGCATCTTTTGATAGAAAATTGAGATGCCCGTTGTTAGTAAATTGAAAATAATCCTGAGAACGTAGGCTTTGGCTGAGGAGGGTGTCAGAAGTGAGCTTTTCAGAGTGCTGTTCTTTTCACCAGTGCCACGTGAAACTGTTGGTGTGCTGGTCACACGTTAACGCTCTTACTGTTCTGTATTTTCACAGCCCAATTATGGAAGCGTTTGGCAATGCGAAGACTGTTTACAACAACAACTCAAGTCGCTTTGGGAAGTTTATTCAGCTGAACATCTGTCAGAAAGGAAACATTCAGGGAGGAAGAATTATAGATTGTATCCTCGTTTGGTGATTTTACCCCTGTTTGTGGGCAGCCCCCATGTACCTTCTCTGGAGGGCTGAGGGAGAAGTGGCTCGTCCTTGTCTGTGCTTTCACCCCATCCTGAACATAGACAATTAAATTGAGCTGATGTAGGTGGGAAAGGGAAGCAGTAACACCAAACTCTGTGTGTGTTTGTGGCGGGGTGGGATGTATATTGCTACTGCTAGCGTGGCTCATGTGCGTGTTCCTACGTAGTGAGCTAAAACAGCCTGAGTTCTTGGGCATAACTTCAGTTGTCAGCTATTTCCCTCAGTTTTTATATTTAAAGATAAGCTTCTTAGTTTCTGGAAAAGTACTTGAATGAGCAGAGCTGCTGAATTTCTGCAGTGTGAGCATGGGTGGGTCAAATCCTTGGACCTGTGCATTTGGCACAGCTGGACTATGAGCCAGCTCCACCAGAGTACCAGAGTTGTGGGGATGAGGGATATACCGAGGTGATCCTACCTAGTGTTTTGAACACAAGCTGATTTTGCAGTGGGACAAATTTAATCCTTAAAGCTGTTCCCAAGCTTTAGGGAAAAGTAAAGGAAGGCAGATGCTCCAGAACATGACAAGTCCAGTTTTGACGGGATGGAGGAGAAGAGGGTGTGGGAACATATTGTTACTGGAACGGCTGCAGTATTATCGTTGTTGCCACTTTATTCGTCTTGTTATGGCAGGAGGCATGTTGTTAAGAAAAGACCATGATGCTTTTCTGGTTATCTCAAATGGAGGAATTAAGGAAGATTATAAGTAGCTTGTGCATGAACTACTTTTTACTTTATTCCTTGACTGAAGTTCTTCTTCCTGACTATAGATTTATTGGAAAAAGTAAGTTGATGTTTGCTTCTGCTCAGTTAATTTTGTTTGATTTAATATTTTCTTTGAAATTGTGGATAAAAAAATTCTTCTTAAAAATGATTGCTTAAATGGAAACTATTTTTTACTTTGACAGAATCGTGTAGTAAGACAAAACCCCGGGGAAAGAAATTATCATATATTCTATGCTCTGCTGGCAGGGATAGAAGAGAGAGAGAAAGGTGAGTGGCAAAGTGCAAGTCACACAGCTGTGGTGGCTCTCTGGTAGCAGTCAGCCATGGTGACAGCAGTGGAGAATTTCACTGCAGAAACACACTAACCTAACCAGAGAAATAGGTTATTTATTCAGCCGGGGTTCAATGAGAGAGGATTTGAGCTCAGCTTGATAAAGCAACCTGCTTATTTGAAGAATGTCACCGAGCTGCCGGTAATTTTTCTCCCAGCCTCTGCTGTGGCCCTGGGAAAATTACTTGGGGACAAACATGCTTCATTCTGTTCAAGCTGGATATTTTTGCTGGTACTAAATAACTCCACGGCAACAAAGAGAAATAATTCTGGTTCCTCTAATCTTCTCTCATAAAGAATAAATCCACTGAACAAAAGAAATGACATTTGTGTTTGTGCAAAATTGCCTAAAGCTGTCTCCGCCTCTCCCTTTGGGCCTGCTGTCTTTGCATTCTAGAAACTAGAGTTAACTCCATTGTGCAGCTAAATAAAGCAAAAATCCAGCAAAATAAAACCCTATATCTGTTTTTAATATAAAACTTTGTTTTGTGCATGATCATAATTTCTGAGCAAATGAATTGTGAACTATTTAACTCTCACATAGTAATTTGGCGAGTGACTTTGATTTGTTGGGTTTTTTTTCACTCATCCTCTTTTCTCTCATCTCATTAGATGCTTTTTACTTGTCTGTACCGGAGAACTACCACTACCTGAATCAGTCTGGATGTATAGCAGATAAGACAATCAGTGACAAAGATTCTTTCAAGGAAGTCATTGTGAGTTATTTCCCTAGTTCTTTACGCTTTAAAAGCGCTGCAGGTGCAGGCTTCTGGGGCCCATTGGACACAGCAGGGGACAAAGCCTTGTGTGTTACCTGCGCTCTCTGCCGTTCTGGCTCTCTGTGCAGCTCTCGCAGAACTAAGCTTACAGGGATTTATGTTTTCTCATAACACTTCACTGTCATTTTGAGCATGTCTTTACTTTCCTTACCAATACTTGATTTTCACTCTGTCATTTCAAAATGTGCTATAATTTAGTGAAACAGTTAAGTTTTGGAATGAAAACAGTATCGGTTAGGCAGGCAGTAAGGCATTTACATGCCATTGCCCTTTCCTACATTGTTTTATATTACCAGGTGCGTCTGCTTCCACTGTTTTTCCATCCTAGAGCTTTGCCCAAATCATGTAGCATCTGCTGGGTCAAGTCCACAGTGCAGCACGTGGGGAGCAAAGCACCTGGGCTTCTGTGACTCTGTAAATTGCAGTTGGGAAATCTGGTTGTATGGAGTAACTTACACAGTAGAGTTGAAGAAAATGTAAACACAGATGAAAAGGATGGAGACCTTCTCTGAATGGCTTTATGTCTTATACCCACAACAATTAGTCTATGCTGATTGCTAGGTTAATTGCTAATTACTATGTCACCAAGGTGATATGTGTTAGATTTTAAAAATCAGTAAAAATAATGGGTTTTATGGCCTTCAGCAAACTATTTTTGCTTAGCTGTGTTAATCTGTTCATCAAATGGACAAATTAATGTGTAGTGGATGCAGCCGTTATTTTTAGTGTAAAACATCCTCATCTAGTATGGTGGGGCAGAAGGGTGTTGGAAAAGTTGGTGACTTACCTACATCACATGGCTTAAGCTGATTAGCATGACATTTAATTTGTGCTAATCATCCTAGGGTAGGCAGGCAGAGCATGAAATCAGCTGGGCAGATGATGCTTGCGTGCTGCCCACAGCCTGGGCAGGCTTGGAGCAGGGGCTGAGGCTGCCAGGCTGCGTTCCCAGAGCGGGAGGCAGGCAGAAACCCCGCGGTTTGCCCTCTCCTGTCTTTTCCTATTATAGTCGTCCACTTTGCCTGTTTTTATTGCAGTTTAAGTCAACGAAATGTTACCTGAAACTTTTGTGGGAGACAGGGAGTAACTGCATGGTGAGCGTGGAGATGAATTCACAGTGCTACTGCCTTTCTTAGAGCTCTGCTGTGAAAGGTCTTCTATACAAAACGCATCTTTATCTCTTCTCTGCTTTTAATTGTGGGATGAGTCTGAGGCTTTTGCATTTGTAACTGATAATTTATGAAAGATGAAATGTGTCATGTGTCATCTGTCAGACACCTGCAGTCACCCTAATATGATGAGTCTTAACTGTAAGGGTATGAAACTCTGATCTGGTCTCATATTAGACCCAAAGTTAGGAAATTCTGGTGTATTCCAGAATCCTATATTCCAAAGGCATACAATTACTTACCCCTTCTATGTCAGAGAAAGTTGTATGCTCCTCTTGTTTTAATGTTTTATGTTTTAAATGTCATATGGTGTATTCAGTTTGGGATGAAACCAAAGGAATTAACTCCTGCCAGCTTCCTGTTGGTCCTGACTTGCCTTTCTAAGACCTGACAGCACACTTGGTGGGTTTGTCCTTGTCCCATTTTTGAATCGGTGTGCATGTTATTGAAGAAGTTTACATGTCATTCCAGACTGCAATGGAAGTGATGCAGTTCAGCAAGGAGGAGGTGCGAGAAGTTTTGAGGCTGTTGGCTGGCATTTTGCATCTAGGAAATGTTGAGTTCATCACTGCTGGTGGGGCACAGGTGTCCTTTAAAACAGGTGAGAAGGCTGTGCTTCCTTGTAGTATGTAAATGTTTCTTGAGGTTGTGAAAGTTATATTCGTTGCTAGTATACCTGGCCATAGCAAGGACAAACAGTGAAAGCGTCTTATTGCTTTTTAGTATCTAAAAATGTTGATTAAAATGTTATTTTGGGGTTTTTTTGACAGGTAAGGCAAATAAGTTTCCTGCTGGGTGCTAGGTTTTAATTAGGGAAGACCTTGGGCACATATTTATTCCGTTAATAGTAGTGAAATTCCATTTTAATCTAATTCCTTCTTTGAAATATTCTCGATCTGATAAAACGTAAGTGTTCAAGTACATTCCTTAACTGATATCTCCACTGAAGGTATCTTTTGTTAGAGCTTTCAATACCTCAGTTACAAATCTGAAAGTATGTGCTGGTATGTCTAAAGATTGCACTGATGAGCATTTTAAATGTTTGTTCAAATATGGCGATAAAGAGTAGCATTACATACTGCTTTATATACCACATTACAGCAAAATTACAGATTAAATTATGCATGTAAGAAAAAAATCATTAGTTTTCTTTATCCTCATCATCCCAAGGGAAGCTGAAACGCATTCATGTGGACAAAGAATGAATTACTGTTTGTAACTGGAAAAATACGTTAGTGTAAGCAGTAGATTGTTTGAATCCTTGACATGTAACATTAAGAGGAAAATAAATATTTGTGATGAATTTCTACTGCTAAATTCCTTCAGTTGTGCATATTTATGATACTGTGCTTTTTCATGAGCAGCAAAAACATATCCTAGAGTTTCTAGTTGTGTTATTATCTCCAATCCCCATCATTTTGGAAGCATCTTAAATGGTGGTAACTAACGCACTACTACTACTACTACTAGTAACAATAACAACAATAATAAGTTTCATAGCCTCATGCATTTAAGGACGTATTTATATTTGTCTCTTTCTTTTGCCAGCTCTGGGTAGATCTGCTGAACTACTAGGGTTGGACTCCACACAGCTAACTGAAGCATTGACACAGAGGTCAATGATACTCAGGGGAGAAGAAATCTTAACACCTCTTAGCATACAGCAGGTAACGGCATCTCAGTTTTGACGTGTTTTTAGGGTCTGTTAAATATATGGCTCAGACTTCGAGTCCAGTGATATCATTGGTCACTCAGGAACAGAAGTTTAGATCATGCACCAGAGTTGCTATCAAAAACAGTACGTAGTTTTTTGGGAATGGTGTAATTGGACTTCTAGAAATTTCTGTGTACCCCGTCCTGTCATTCTGGCCAGGGCTTGTAGCTTGACTTTTGTTATTCTTATTAAGCCTCATTGCTTACCGTTTTTTTCCAAATTCAAATCATGTAGGCTGATATTTTTTATTACGGATATTTGTGTCAGGTGGGCGTTCTTGAAAACTTTCAGCAAAAATAAGTTTATTATTTACACAAAGAGAATTAGAAACAGGTATACATAACACTATGCTTATCTCTAGAAAGGAATGTATTATTGAGCTGTTATTTCGTACCCGTCTCTCTTCTTCCTCCACACCTTAAGTTTATAATTTCCTAATTTTTGAATGCTTTAGTACTGAAATGTAATTTTAAAGCCACACAGGTGTACAGCTATTATAACTTATATTGTTAAAGCTTAAATCAGGACTCTCTGGAACTGTTAATACAATTGCTGTCAAGGTGCATAAGAATACAAACCTGCTTGTTTTATACCTTGCTTTATGCTGTGCAAGGGACGCTGACCAGCAAAGTCTGGTAAGTTCCCAGTTACAGGGGTGATTGATGCGTTGTGTGTTCCTTCTTTAATGCAGGCAATAGACAGCAGAGATTCTATGGCTATGGCACTTTATTCTCAGTGTTTTGCTTGGGTCATTAAGAAAATCAACAGCAGAATAAGAAGCAAGGAAGACTTCAAGTCCATTGGAATTTTGGACATATTTGGATTTGAAAACTTTGAGGTAGGTTTCAAAAGTTTGTTCAGATGGATTGTCTGATATTTATGCTTCATTGTTCTACCTATCTTTGTCATCTTCACTGGAACTTGATTATTAAACGTATTACAACTTAAATCAGTTCCTTGTTTGCAGAATACTTGGAGTGTATGCATTTTTGAAAACTTCTTGTCTCTTTAGGTAAACCGTTTTGAGCAGTTCAATATTAACTATGCAAATGAAAAGCTTCAGGAGTATTTCAACAAGCACATCTTTTCCTTGGAGCAACTGGAGTACAGCAGGTGAAATTTGAAAGAATTTTGAAAATATCAGTGTTCACTTGAAATCTGAGTTCCCAGCTGTATTTGCTTCCTTTGACAATCTCCTAGTCTGGGGCTCTGCATTTTTTAAAAGCACGTGGATTTTGTTGTATTTTGCAAGACAATTACATCAGCTCCTCCTATTTCTATATTTTAAATCTTTTCTTCGTAGTTGTCAGTAAAAAGGCCCTCCTTGTTTTCCTTAGGGAAGGACTAGTTTGGGAGGATATTGACTGGACAGACAATGGAGAGTGCTTGGATCTTATTGAAAAGGTAATAAAGAATTTGATACCAGTACCTATTTCTAGTTTTTCTTCTGAGGTAATACATTTTTAAAACACTTGGCAACACAAAGAACAAATGAAGAGAATGATGACTTTTGCATGTTTAAGCAGTGACCTTTTAATCAAATAATTTTCATGGATGGACATATTCTACATTATATTGTAAGCTCAATACACACATTTTTCCTTGTAGTAACTCGTAACAGTGTACCATTATGTACAAAAGCAATATTTGGAGATGATTAAAAAGAGTAGAAAGAGGGGGCAGAAAGGACGACGATGTCTTGCTCCTGTAATGACTTTTCCTGGGATGTGAGTAATCTTTGTATGGTTGCTTGCCAGTTTTTGCTTCACCTATATATTCTGTTTGTGCTCTGATTTGTACTGAGGAAAGGTGCACAAGAGCATGAAACTTCTGCAGAGCTTTTGGTAGGAATGTTAGCGGTGACGGGCAGATGAGGTCTCATTTCACCACCTAGAAATGGTAACTGGCTGGATGACAAAGCCAAAGTTAGATACAGTTTCGTCCGTGTTTGCTTTGTCCGGCAGTGCAGCGGGCTGCGTACGTTTGTCTCCGCTGTGGCTGCCCGAGTTCAGAGAACTGCAGAAACTCACGGGAGCAGGCAAGGGATCCAGCTGCCAGGATGTGACTGCAGTCAGGACGGTGTGGTTTGTCAGGTGCTGCTCTGGGACTATGGCAAGTGGCTTATTAAAATATGCTGTGTTTTTCTAACAGGCTGTATCAGCCTGAAGCTTGCTGGACACATTCATTAACTGCAGGATACCTTCCTTTGTTTACAACCTCTTCTACTATGAGAAGTAGGGAACATCAAAGGAAATTACACAGAGGCATATGCAAAGCAAAGGGAGGTTGTGTTTCATGCGGCGAATAGTTGAACTGTGTGTCTTTTGCTGTGCCCCTGTGGCCTGTGGGTGTTAAAAATTTGCATTGGTTCAACAAGTAAGTAGATAATTTTATGAAAGAAAAATTTTTGAAAGGCTGTTTTCACAAACTCCTCAGACTTAAGGGACTCCTGATCATTGGAGATCTTGGAGGCTGGGGTTATATTCTGGGGCAATCTCTATTTTTTGTATGCACCCTTAATGAGGAGAACTGTTGCTTCCTCCAGCTTCTTTATTTTGCCCTGGTAATATTACTGATACACAGTATCATATGCTATATGTTTAAAAAAGAGCGTTGCCAGAAAAACAGGATTGCAGTCCTCTATGAGAATGGGTTTTTAGTCATGTATGGGTGGTTTTGCACCTCTCTGCACACAATAACTTCAGTAACTTTGTGGGTTTTCCAAACCAAGGACAAGGTCTGTGTCCATCTGTGCGCTAATTCATCTTCTGCTTGTGCTTGCTGTTCTAGAAACTGGGCCTGCTGGCGCTCATCAATGAAGAGAGCCATTTTCCTCAAGCCACTGACTCCACCTTGCTGGAGAAGTTGAATGCCCAGCATGCTGTATGTGATGTTTTGCATATGTTCTTCTGTGCAAATTATGGAGGATCTCTTTGCTTCTGTAGAAATTCATGGTTCATATATATGGGTGCATAGTTGTAGAGGCTATTTTGTATGTGATCCTACTTCCATGGCAATCCGTATCATTCGCTGTCAAGACTCAGTTACCTGGAAGAACATATCCTTGTTGCTGTCCGGTTAAAATTTTCTGTGTTGGTGAATAAGCCAAATTCTGCTCTTAGTTAGAGATCTGACAACCTGCAGTAACTCGGGTTACTTAGATCTTCAATTTCCCTTGATTTAATGAGGTATTCACCTTGGTGTCATTTGCCAAAAGGTTGCTGTTTACTTTGTCCAGATTAGTGTTACCTTTATTTGTGATCCTACAATTATTTTTGAGAATTTCTGGGTTACAAGCATATGTTCACCAATCTTCATAACTGCCACTTTAAGACAGAACCTTCTTTTTCAAAGCGCCTTTAATAGATGGTTCTGTCAGATGGGTTCAGGTTTAGTATAATGCCTTTTTAGATACTATAAATCTGTTATTACTGCATTTGAAGCAGCCCAGACTAACAAATCCTATTATCATTATAAGTTGGTTGTTTGCTTTTGGAGCACTAATCTTCCATGTAGTTCACTGAAAGACAATGGTTTATTTAGGACTGGGTTGAGAGGATAATGTGATCCTTTGTATCATTCCGCTCCCTGACAGCCCCCTGCCAATATTTTTCTCTCTTCTTTCCCCTCCATTTAGAACAATCCTTTTTATGTAAAACCAAGAGTTGCCGTTCACAACTTTGGAGTGAAGCACTACGCTGGGGAGGTAATTTTCTTTTCTTTATTTGCTGAAATTATTCCAGAACTTTCATTAGCTTAATTTTACCCTGAGGCTGCTCAAAATTAACTAAAGCGGCTCTGTTCCCTCAGTGCTTTTTACAGTACCACTCTTGTGAGAGGTGCCTGACTACTTGGCTTGTTGTTTGAATCAGATCTGTTTCCTGCTAGGTCCAGTATGATGTCAGGGGAATCTTGGAGAAGAACAGAGATACTTTCAGAGACGATCTTCTGAACTTGTTACGTGAAAGCAGGTATGTTTCTGTGATTTTTTTTGCTTAGGACATGATGTTAAGGGGTGTCATATCACCTAATTCTGCCAGGGTTTCAATATGTTAGATGTTGCATAGTGTCAGACCTTGACAAAGTTGAAAGGAGCATAGAAGAAATACCAGAGGTGCCTGACAGCAGATCTGACCATGATCAGTTCTCACTCACAGGTTTTCCCACATTGTACAGTACCTCATCCCTGTTCAGTCCAGGGGGTTGCTAGAGAGCTCACTTGCTACTCAGTGGTGAGTAAGGATGCCGAAAGCTGGTGATGTTTTTTAACTGTTTCAGGGTGCCTCATAGGCAGTGTGCGTGCACAGGTTTTTTGCTTTGTAGAGAGCCTGATTTGCTTGTATTTCTGGCATTCCCTGATTTAGGTGAGAGCTTAGTGTCAGGGACCCACCACAGTGCAAATTGCTATATAGTAATTACTCAAAAGGAAAAATTTCTATAAAGATTTCCATTACTAGAAGTCTGAGCTTGGATGTCTTTGGTACCTGCGTGCCTCCGGCTTGTGTAAGGTCTCAGGATCCTTACAGTGGTACCCTGTGATCCGGAGCGGTACCACGTACCTTTCTGTAGGCGTATGATTGAGACTCCAGGACACACAGAGGGTGACAGAAGCGAAGGGAGCTGAGCCCGGGTGTTGCTGTCTTGGCTGCTGCCCTCACCCACCCCGTCCAGTCATCCTGCCTTGCCATGGGAGTTGCTTGTTTGTAAATCCCTTAAGCCCTTCTGTGCAGGGGAAGCTGTTAATAAGCGTCTCCCTCTCTATGTTGGTTGTTCAGGTTTCATGATATATCTGACATAATATCTGTCAATTGAAGTATGGAGGTAAAAGTAATAAATGAGTTAAAGCTGCTGGGCCTGGTTTTGCTGTTGCACCAATGTCTGTCTAGAGCAACTCCATTTAAGTTAAAAGGTCTGCATTTCTGTAGAAGTGATTAAGAGGAGGATGTCAGACTGGCAGTTTATAAAACAGCCTACACAGCTGGTATCAGAAAGTGAAGCTCATGTGGGTGGCTATTTTGTGTTATGGCCCCAAATAAACTGGAAGTCTTGTTTTTCAGTCTCTAGTCAGGTACAGTTCTCACTACAGTCAGCCAGAATTTTGGCTGAGTGGACTAAAATGCAGTAAGGATTCTAGGACTTCATAGTTCATTTCCCTAATGATGTGTTGAGAGTGGAGAAGAAAGAACCTCCTTGTTTTTTTCTATTTTGCTTTGATTTGGTTTGGTTGTTGGTTGGTTTTTTTTGCTCCCCTGCATAAATTCTACAAAGGCAAAATCTATTGCTTATTAATGATTATGGAGAAAATCAGTAAGTATTTTTTGGATGGAGTAGCTGCTTTCTAGGGGACTGTGCTTTCTTTGCATTCTGTAGTGATAAACCTTCTAGTCTGTTAATATATGCTGTAGAGATTTTCTTTCTCCTTCCCATTTCAGTCTTGATTTCATCTATGATTTATTTGAACATGTTTCAAGTCGGAACAGTCAAGACACTCTTAAATGTGGAAGCAAACACCGAAAACCCACTGTCAGTCTCCAGTTCAAGGTTAGTTAATGTGTCATGTCTGCTCTGTAGCTAATCTTTGATAGATAAACCCTGTGTTCAGTAAGGAACAGATGCAGATTAAAACAGTCAAAACTTCAGCATCCAAACACTGCTGTCCCTTCTGTGAAACTGCACTAACTAGTCAATTGATGGGCCCTACTAGCTAGCTTCAAGCAGAAACTAACCTTCACATCACACCAGCCACACAACTCCCGTTGCTTTCCATTTGCTTACTCGTTCTCATTTTAAAGCTCATCTATGAAGTTGATCTCTCTGGTCTTGGTTTTCCTTTCTAATCTAAAATCAACCATGAAATGGCACAAAGCCTTACAGCAGTGCTGTATGCTAAGAAAAAGAAATACTGAATAAATACCTCATGAAGGTGTTGTCTTGCTTTTTAACTTAAAGTTTGGAAAGCATTTTTATTAAAAACCTTTTTATGAGTCTTTATAGCCCTGCCGTTAAAAATGGCACCCAACTGGAATCTAGCATAAAGTCTATCTGCAAATTATTTAAAAGAGAAAGATGGGCACAAAACCTTCTCTAAATTGCACGAGTACAAGTCTGGATTAGTTGTCTTTCATTTTGTTTAACTTAATATGCATTTGTACTGTTAATTCCCTTTTTTAAAAAAGGGAGCAGACTCAAACCCCTTGAGGGCAGATTTTATCCTAATAGACTATTGCTAACTGTTGGACAGAACAGCAAGGAATAAATGCCGGGGCACACACAGTGTCTTTTATTATGAAACACCAATGTTACATTCCCTGGACAGCTTGCTTTGTGCTACCATCGCTCAGACAAGACCCACTTCTTGTGATGAGGTGGTATTATTTGCTATCTGTCTGGGATAGCAGAAGGGACTGTTCCCACTCTAGTCTTTGGATGCGCGCAAAGTAGACCTTTACGATGTTGACAGATAAAAATTTACCGTATTTTTGCACTCGCTTTGCAGGGTAGAACACAATGTAGAGCTCCTTCTCTTCTCCATCACGGCCCTGGCTAACATAAAGCATGATAAAACATGAAATCAAAATACTGTTTTTTTTAATCTAAAGCTGCAGTAGCTGACCATTAACCAGTTGAGCTGCTTTTCAAGAGGTTGACATCATCCTTTTCCCAAAGAATTATGTTGAGTGTTTTAAAGCTTTCCAGGGATTAGTCCGTCTCATTTCAACTGAAGAGAAGAACTTTGCCGTCACAGTTTTATTCTCATGATAGGTTGGTTAACTCTTCATTTGACAGCGTGCTTAATGCGGGCCTGGGGGTGCACGCAGAATAGCTGAGGTTGTTTACCATCTGCTTCAGCCTGTTGCTTAAAGCAGGGAAAACTTCAGATTAGCTTGTCATCTGACAGTGACTTAGAGGTGTTCAGCACCGTGCAGAGTCTCGCTGGCTGTACCACAGACGGATGTGAAAACAGATTAAATAATTTTTGTTAGACTGACTAACTTCTCCAGTCTGTGTAAGTAGTAGCCTGTGTTGCTAAAAGTCTGAGAATTGGCTTGGTAGTCTGTAGATGTTGTAATGCTCACACAGGTTTAATACAGATGAAGCCTCTACTTTTTGAAGCTGAAAATATTTGTCTTTACACAAAAATACTTGTGTTTGTATCTTCTGGCTGTTTAATGTTTGCTGCCCCCGGCTCCTGGTCCCTAGGCTGGCAAAGGCAAACGAACCGAGAACTATCATTTACGTTCCCAGTCACTTCAGCATTTGCTCCCTTTGCTCTGTACCAGCTCCTGTGCACAGCCACAGCTCTGCCTGTTACCCTGACCACTTCATGTTTAATCATCAAAAAAGTCCTTGGTTTGCAAATTAAATCAAGAATTTGTTGTAACAGACTGCCATTGGCAGTTTTTGCTCCAAAACGTATGGTAGGACACACAGTGTTGTTCCTTTAAAAAGAGAATTTTCTACCTCCTTGGCAGCCTGCTCTGTATTGTCTCCACTGCCTGGCACCCAGTGCCACCTTTGAGGAGTGAAACATTTTCACTGCTAGCGTTCTGGGCTCTTCAGAGCCTGGGCTCTGCTCCGGTAAAATTATTTGCATCTCTGCAAAGTAAATGCAAGACTTCAGTTTAAAAGGGTTTATCATACTTAATGATACAGAATGAGGCAAGTTGGAATAAGATACGGAATGACGGCTCGGGAGGGAAAGGGGCGGATATGTAATTAAAGTAATAATCATAAAAGGACTGAGGGATTTTTGTGATTTTTATCTCCAGGCTGAGGTTCAGACAACTGATGGTCTAATGTGTGTTGGGTCATTCAGAGTTCTAAAACTAGGAAAAAACTTGTGTTTTCTTCTATGTTTTGTTTTGTGTTTTTTTTTTAACTGAACCTTATAATCTCTCTTTTCATTGATAAATGCAATTAACTATCACATGAAATAACTGTGAAACTCTCTGCTTAATGCTGCTAGCACTGTCTTTCAGTAAGATGTGTTTTCTTTACCACCCTATCCTTTACTCAATTTTTGTTAGTTTTGGGAGGGGAGTGTTTTAAGTTCTAGTATTGATAAAACAATAGCTACTGTATTCTAAAGTAACTCTTTTTTCATAAATTATCATTTTTTCTACCCTTTTGTTGACATACATTTATTATCAGAGTGTCCTTTTAGTAAGAAGGGTTGAGACCACACAGGAGAGAGGACAACCCTGTACACAAGCTGCTGCTGATGGCAGGGAAAATGGAAAATGAGCGGGTATGGAGTGGTTGAAATGAAAAGAGGAGATCTAGTTTTGTGGTTACTTCAGTTTTACCTTAGACCCCTTATCCTCCCTTGTGACTTGTAGCAATTTGAGAATGTGGATCCTAATTCTTAAGCAGTCATTCAAAAGATCCCTGGAACAGCAGCTTTCCAGTTTGATGTTTCCTTGCAAACAGTTTTCTTCATATCATTCTTTATATCATGCTTATGTTTTGTTCACTGCGAAACGGTTATGACAGCTTTGATCAGTTGGGGCTGGTGGAAGAAACAAAGATGCATGGATTGATTTTGTATGTTCACTGTATAGCAAGAGCTTCCATAGCATGGCAATTTCTGGTGTGAGCCACTAGGTGTTGCAGTTAGATACCATCTGCAATGCTAAGCTGCAAGAGCTTTTGCCGGCATATTTTTTTTGTACCAATACTCAGCTTGTGAAGTGCTGTCTTCTTTCTACCTGTGTTTTAGGAATCGCTTCATTCTTTAATGGCGACGCTGAGTTCTTCAAATCCTTTCTTTGTTCGGTGCATCAAACCCAACGTGCAGAAGGTAAGATTTAAAATCGCACCCGTCTCTTCTGTATGTCTCAGGCCTAATCTTTCGCTGCCTGTTTGGCTACTTACCACTGTGTGAAGCAGAGGATGGCATTCTTCACTGACTCCGTAAAAGGCTCTGCAAGGTGAAGGCACTGGGAAAGGCTTTTGATTTTTTGCAGGCAGGACATGTCTTTGAGCACCTTTTTAATAGTCATTGCTCCCAACTCAGATAAATGACTGGCTCTAAGCATGGTTATAAAAGGAAGGTAGAAGGCTGCACTGCGCGTTTGACAACTCCGTGAGACCCTTTTTAGGAAGAAAATGCCAAAACTGCGAAGTCTGTTTTAAATCACGATGGGAAGTGAATGGTGGTGCATATAGCAAAACTGGTGTGAATGACCAACTCTCTGTCATCAGACTCTTAGTCTTTCAATTTCTGTATAATACCAGGTATCTTCATGCTGGATGTTTTGTTCAGACTTGGAAACTGAGGTATACTGTATCGATCTGAGTCACAGATAATGAAAGGCAATGTCAAGACTTATTTATATATGTTGGAGGGCTCTGTAGAAATGAAGAGGTAATGGTACAGTAATTGCTGAAGTTGTTATTGTTAGCCTGGTCCTGATGTTCTGGGTTTTTGCACGTCTCTTTCTGGCTTTATAGACTGTTGTTCAGTACTGTCTGCTTAGGTCAAAAATGCAAGAACCAGGAGTGCCAACAAATTTTTTTTATCATTTTTTTTATGATTTTCATGTTGCAACTGAGAAATAAGTGACTTTGCTATAAATCCAGTTTTACCTGTTACATGTCTCTGGGATGTTTGGTTAATCAGGACACTAAAACATCAAACAAGGCAGGTTGCATTGCAGGTTTTTCTATTATCTGGGTGGTACATCCTCGACTTTACAGGTTTTCGGTTGCTAACTATTTTTAACTCCGCTTTTGCACTGTTGCTCATGGTGTGTCAAATAACATGCGGATCGCAGGAAGCTTGGTGAGAGGGAACAGCCAGAAAGTGAACACGGCCTCCTTTCTGCGTCCTGAAGTGTGTGGTGCTCTGAGGTGTGCAGCCACCAGGTAGCCAAACCCCACATGGATGACAGTGCCTGAGCCGGCATTAGGGTCAGTGCGCCTGTGCGTGTAGCGAAGACCCTGATCACTGAGGGAGGGCAGTTTGGAAAAGCTTGTTTTCTTCCCTGCTCCTGTTTCTGCCTGGAAGCCCCATGACCCTTATAAAGCCCACCTGCTGCCACTGGAGCATAAGAAGAATGTCAATAACTCACACGTTTTCCTTATTTGTCCTTTTGCATTCGAGTAAGGTTCATCCCCACAGTACCAAAGGCACAAGGCTTTGCCATGGTTGATGCAAGAACCAGGTGCTTCTTGCATTTCCATAGCAAGGAAAACACTGTGTTCCCACTCCTATGGGGAGTTGGTTGCTCTACCAGCCCTTTTCCCACTAGAATGCTCCATCCCTGACAAATTTGGCATATGCTACTGTATCTGCACATATATTTTACTATCATTAAAACAAAGTTCTCACAGAATTAGCAGCTGTGCCAGCAGAAGGAGCTTGAGACAGCCTCTGTCTCAGGAAACCACATCTAATTGCAGGAGTGTATGCAGGAACAGATCGGGAAATTCCTGTAGACAATCCCTTTCAAAGTACATATAAAATGTCACTGAAATCTTACACAAAAACATTTCTCTTTGTTTTCCATTTGCTTTAATTTGATTGCAAATTTAACTTGATTCAATGTCTTTGCCAAATAAGAAATCCTATTTGAAGAACAGGAGTAGAGAAAAGGGTCACACAGTTTAATTGTAGTAGCTGATTCAATAGAAGACTTGATGAAAAATGAGAACGAAAGCCATATATAATACTTGTCAATGGCATTCTTCACTCAGGGAAGCGTTCTCAAAATGCATTTTTGGGATTCACTGTTTTAAGTTTTGTCTGCTGTGCACTGCTCTCTGTTCCCCCATGTCTCACAGACACAGTGATTTTTAGTGCCAGTCTTGTGACGTTGTTGGTGTTGCTCTTTCTGCAACGGTGCAGGTACAGAAGCAGGCACGTGAATGGCATGTGGCTCCCCTGTACCTCAGCTGGATTCTGTGGATGCACACCACATTAAGCATTTCATAGGTTATCCTCTCCTACATGTTGCTTCTTTTCAGTTAGACAAAATAAAATAAGGTGAGTCAGTTTGCATATCTCTGAACCAGTACGGTTCAGAGACACGTTAGCCGTGCATGGACTACCAGGGATTACCGCATATATGACTCACTGTGCAGGGTTGGTTAGAAACATAACTGCTTGAAACATTCAGATGAGCCACTGAAACAGAGAAACTGGGATTGAAAGAAAGTAAAAATCTTCACTGAGCATTTTCTTCTGTGTTTTCCGTCCATAGTTTCTTGCTCTGTAGTGACGGTGATATGGAATGATAGAATGTCACTCTTCAAAAAGTGCTTAAACAGTGCTTGCCAAATAACAAATGATGTGAAAGAAAGGGGTGTTGTAATTGCTTTTTTGAAATATGCAGCATTAAAGGAGAGCTGGACCAGGCAGACTTGGCAAGGAGAGAGCAGAAGTTGTGTTATCAGGAGCAAGGCCTCTCGAGCTACTCGTTGCGCTCTGGGTTGGGTACGAATAGGTGACACACCTTCAGTGAGCGTCCTCTATAACTCTGGAGGGGAGGGGGTGGTGGTGCTCGAGAGCTGTTTCGCTCTGGAAGTATGTTTGAATTCTGCAGCTGAACGAGGTTGAGCAGATGGAAGACGAGTTCAAGCCTTTGAAGAGCAGAATGTGCAGCAGACAGTACTTCCTCTGCTCTTCTAGACATTAAAGTGTACTCATGTTGGATAAGAGATGTGATGATTTACAGTAATTATTTGATTTTTTAATTGATCAAATGCTTAATTTCTAAATATGTTACAGTGGCAAGCAGAAACAACTCAGCATATGCAGTAAACCACTGAACATTTACATATCAAAGCAGGATCTGCACTCATTAGAGCAATTTCCTAAAGGGAGCGCACAGAGTACATGACCTTTTGTCATGAGACATTTCAGCGAGCAGGCCTCAGACAGAAGAACAGAGGACCCATTAATCTTTGGGAGACCCCTGAACAATCAGTGTGTCTGTTTTCACAGTTTCTAGGCCGTTCTGAACTGACCATAACGTGGAAACTTTGCCAGTTGGTATGCTTAATGAGTATTTTCTGCTAATGAAGGGTCTCTCTCCTCAGCTGCCCTTATCTTCACTGCAGCTTGCAGAACTACGTATTGTTTCATCCTTTTGAACTTCAACATATCTTTCTCTGTTTCTTGGTTTCTTGTTTCTTTTCCTGCCTCCTGTTCTATTCGATAATGATTCCTCCCTGCCAACCCGCCTTTTCTGGTCTCCATCTATCCTTTTTAGTGCATGTTAAATTAAAAAAAAAAACAGCCAACAACAACACACAAAAAAAACCCAAGCAAAACAACAACAAAAAAAAGGACTGTCTTTTTAAAACAAGCTACAACCATTGCTACAGCCATCAGCTGAGCGTTTCTTCCAGCTTGCTGCTGTTAATAAAGTTGCTAAGCCTTGGTGCTGCTCAGGAGACAGTTCAGGGTAAATTTAAGATCTGAACTTCCTATGCAAGCTATTTCAGAGGCAGAAATTGTCCCGTTGGCCAGAAGGAGCCAGCAGTGCCTTCTCAAGTTCCATTCTCTATTTAGGAATTTTCTTCAGAAAATATGTTGATCTAACCTAGCAAGTGGCATAATGTTGGCATAATCCTTGTGAGTGGCCCCCCACCTCCAGCATCTGCATGGCCTCATCTGTTCTGATCTCTTAAAATCTCGATTATTACAGCTTGCTTCTGTAATTCCCTGTTCTTGAGACTTCAACAGGTTCAAATGCAACTGTTCTGTCATGCCCATAGACGGGTGCATCCACTTCTTTTTTGGTTACACATCTAAGTCCAGTTTGGTCCTGATGGGCAAAATCCTGGCTTCATTAGAGTTGGCATGAAATATTTGATGTAGACAAGAATTCAACTTTTCAATCTTTTTTTTTTTTTTTTTTTTTTTTTTTGTCTTTAGGAAATCTGTGTTGGTGTGTGCCATCTGAACAGGATTGCAGGGTCTCTACTCACCTCTCTGTCTGCCTATTTATTGGCTATCTCATTCCTCTGTTGCAGTGGTGGTCTTGCCACTGGCAAGATAAAAGCCACCTTCTTTGAAGCTTCTGAGCTCTGAAGGGGCAATTCTGTTTCTCTGCAGGTTTCTTTATATCTTTTAGTATTAAAATTTAATAGGTAGGGTGAAGAAATGAGACAAAATTAAACCTGTATTATAAACTTACTGCAGGGTAGGGGTTACAGGGAGCAACAGAAAAAGTGAAACTAGTAATAACTTTGCAATTCAAAAGAAGACTGGTAGGAAAAGGTCTGTAATAAATTCTGTGAGGCTTACTGCTGCTTGGGAGTCCTGTCATGCTGCATATTCATTCTGGGAAAATTACTGTCAAGGCAATAAGATTGCTAACATCACTTCTGGGGACACAGCCATTTAAAGGGATCAAGGTATGGCTATTGGCACCTGCAGCGTACTTTGAGGCATGGGTCATTAATAGCCATGAGACACCCTGGAACAGCAAGCAGTATGTCCCCTAATACAAAATAAGATGCAAACCTATTTTGCTTGGCGTCTGAATTAAACTTGTGCTCTTAAAATAGCTCTGAATCATTACAAAGGTAAGTATAGCATGATACCAACCTAAACACCAGTTAGAAGTACAGCTTAGGAACGCAGCACAAAGGAACAATGAGAGAACAGCTTGGCCCCATCTGCAAGGATGATTGTGTGCAGGGTGTGGAGCAGGTACAAGTTCAGTGAATGTGGTATGTGAACTGGTTGTCATGCTGGAATTGCAATATTGTCATATTGAGACTCGACTGTGTGAGTTTGCCTTGTAGAGAGATCTTCTGCAGAAATATGGATAAGGACAGTGCAAGTCT